GGCACTCACGGGATTTAAATATAACTGGAGTCATTAATATTATTATTACAGGCATTTCCTGACACAGACATAACTGTCATTTTTAAACCAGCATTTTGGGTCAGGCTTAGGTGATACAATCACTGCCTCTCAGGTGATACAATCACTGCCTCTCAGGTGATACAATCACTTTCTCTCAGGTGATACAATCACTGCCTCTCGGGTGACACTATCACTGCCTATCAGGTGATACAATGACTACCTCTCAGGTGACACAATCACTGCCTCTTAAACTTTAGGCTCTCATTATAATTTCCAAAATAATTGCGACAATTAAAAAAAATGTACTAAGTTGACCAAAAAATCAAATAGGTCATAACTAAAGCCCGGACATCCATTATAAACACAATTAATTAGTTCACTCTTTTAATACCGAGCATTGAAAATGTAACAAGATTTTGAAAATCTAGGCTCAAAGGTGAACAATAATGGCTACTGTCTAACAGAAGTCAGAAAAAAAACTTGTTTTAGCAATTCATAAATTAAATAAAATAGAAACTATGGCACAGAACACATAAACGAGTCAAAGTAAAAATTGTGAGATCATGTGTCTTTCCCACAACTAGTCACGGATGTGTCATGGACTTTTACTTAATCGTTGGAGAAAAACACTGGAGCTTTCAAACGCAAATATTACAGACAATTGATTAGACTTCCATGGACCAAGAAGAAAGAAAATACTGACACACAATATGATCTGAACATCAAGGCTCATAAACCTCATTGTGTTCTAAAAAATGCTGTATTTCAGTGAAATTAAACCTCAAGGTAGTCTGGAGAAAATGGTGATGGAGGGTACAGATGCTGCAAGAAGATACAGAGGCTGCCTCCGCAAAGATGACAATGAAGTTGCACTAGCTATGAAAGCACATAGGGCTAAAGAAATAGCGAGATAGTGAGACTTTCAGGCGTGCTGTGATGACAGAGATAAAGAACCTGCTGACTGATGATGGCGATGAGCATCGAGCAATAATGAGGGAGAACATCTGGGGAGGGAGAACATCTGGGGAGGGAGAACATCTGGGGAGGGAGAACACCTGGGGAGGGAGAACACCTGGGGAGGGAGAACACCTGGGGAGGGAGAACACCTGGGGAGGGAGAACACCTGGGGAGGGAGAACACCTGGGGAGGGAGAACACCTGGGGAGGGAGAACATCTGGGGAGGGAGAACATCTGGGGAGGGAGAACATCTGGGGAGGGAGAACATCGGGCAGCTCTATGCATATATTGGTTACCCTTCGCATGAAGGGGTCTCCGTGGCGAAGTAGTCAAACTGTCTGCCTTGTGCTCTGAAGGTTGTCAGTTCATTTCCTGACAGTGCCGTTCAGTTCACGGGTGCAATTTTTACAGAGATTTCTGGAGATCACCGCCTGAGCTAAGGAGGTCGTGCTCTGTGTGACGCTCTTGGCAGGTAGCTAGCTGGAGCTTTTTATAGCTTTCCACAAGAAAGTTGCAATCCTTATTCGTGTACAAGCATTAAACCCAAATGGCTCTGTGATGTCTGGCTATGATTTATTGTATCCTCGCCACTAAAGTGGGCAGCCATCTTGGTATTACAGCTAAACGCTCACCTGCACATCAGAAGGTCATGGGTCCAAATCTGCACTTAAGATTTTTTGTTTTCTCTTTTTCTTCTTTTTCAAAAATGAATTTGTCTCCAAGGTCAACCCAACCTTAAAAAGGTACAAGGTAAAGCCATTGGAAGCAAAGGTGGCAGTGTGATGCTCACCATATCACCCACCGATAGATGATTAACCTTAAAAACATCTTGGTCAAGCACAAAATGCCCAACAAAGCCTAACATTGAGAGAAGAGTCCTTTACTAAACTGCAAAAAAAAAATTGTAAGTGCAATACAAAGCCAACCCTTATGTACTGAAGTGAATCATGGACAGTCTGCCAACCAGTGAAATGTTATGTGATTGCTGCAGGGATGTGGTTTTACAGGTGAACAAACAGAACATTCAGAAAAGCTTACAAATATTTAATGAAGATGTATTGAAACACAGTAACCCAGAAAGAGAACTGAGAAAATCTACATTATTTGGTCATGTCGTGAGAAGGAGAAAACTGGAGTAAATTGTGACAATGGGAAATTTGGAGAAGCGAGAGGTTTATCATGAGAAAAAATGCTGAACAGTTTGCTACATCTGTATCATCTCGGTGAAGATTTGAGATCACAGCATTCAGGACTGAGCATTTCAGCTCTGTCTGCTACAACAACCAGCAATGCCTGTTTTGATGTCTGGTTAACTACTTGTCTTGTCTTCCCCCCAAGTCTCAGGGTGCTCCAAGAGCCCACAGACATTTCCCACTGAAAAAATTTTTTCAGGTACATGTTTATCCTATCTTCCATTTTATTTGTTACCTCTTCCCAAAGGTGAGAGATCCCATCCACCTTGTACAGTTGTAGTACACTCCCCATACCCTCACCGGGGCAAGTTCAGCCAACCTATCTGCATGCTCATTCCCAAACACACCTGCAGAATCCAGGGCTAAACATTCATATGACTCTCACAAGCTGCAAACTCTACATTGACTCAACCTCTTCCCTATAAAGAGAACCTGAATCCACCGCCATAAGTATGGTTTGCAAATCCAATACTATGACAACAAGAGAATATGCAGCACAATATCAATAAATTCAGTGATGCCTGTACAAACTTTGGGCTCACCATCAACACAGATAAAACTGTAGCCATGCACCAGCCAGCCCCAGGCAAAGATACATCGAGCCCAATATCACAGTGAATGGCTACAGATTAAACGTTGTCAGCAAATTTACTTATCTAGGCAGCACCCTTTCACAGAACGTCACAATTGATGACGAAGTAAATGCAAGGGTCTCTAGGGCTAGTGTTGCCTTTGGCAGATTGTACAAAAATGTTTGGAACAGAAGTGGCATAACCCTGCAGACAAAGCCTAAAGTATACTCAGCAGTTGACTAAACGCATGCGAAAAAGTATACTCAGCGCAGTTGCCAGGAAGTTAAACCACTTTCACACTGCCTGAAAACTAAACTGCATGCGAACCGTAGTAGAAAGCATTCATGCCCAGCATCCACACTTCTACTGATGCAGTATCAAATTCGCTGGGCTGGTCATGTGGCACGCATGCCATATCATAGGCTCCCAAAAAAACTCTTCTATGGTGAGCTACAAAATGGGAAACGTTCCCAAGGTGGGCAAAAAAAACGCTTTAAGGACACCTTGAAGTCTTCACTCATAGCATTTGGGATGAATGACACCAATTGGGAGGCTGCCTCTCAAGACCGAAATGCAGGGCGTGCAGCTCTACACAAAGGGGCGGCTACATGTGAAGCAAACAGAACAGCAAGAATGATTAAGAAAAGGACAGACAGAAAGACGACTGCAGGAGATTCCCTCACTGGCACAACGCTCACTCCCTGTCCTCACTGTCCAATAACTTTAGGGCCCGCATCGGCCTTACCAGTCATCTTCGTACTCATACTTGATGAAAAAAAAGTGGTCATCATCATTTTGATGGACAACACACACATGACAACAAGTGTGGCTGATACTGTCTCCACTCATCAGAATGGCAGTTACTGCTTCAACCTCCATTATCATGCTAGATATGGTAATGTTTGTACGACAAGATGTTCTCAGTTATCCCCTCCCCCACGATTCTGCAATGAAGATTTGTTTTAGAAACAACTGACTGTACATAAGACAGAAGGCTGTGGACTTACATTGTTACCAATGTCACATGGCTATAAGAAGTAATAATTCACAAGATACTACACTAAGACTCATTATTCACAATCATTAAGTTATTCACATTCATAGAACAAGCTGACTGAAGGCAGTTATCATTCATCATGTATAATCATTAAATACGAGGGAAAGTTAAAAAAAAATTATCTACACTTTTGACATAACTGTTCTTAAACATTATCCACGCTAACTTCTGTCATTGCTTATTTTACTGTTATACTGTTGTGGTAATGCTATAAAAGTTTGATCCTAATTCCCCCATGTTTCTTCCTTCTGTTGTAAATAGATCATGGCCACTCTATTCGAAGTTTGCACCAAAGAGGAACAAAAAGCAATGAAATGATTCCTCTGGTCTGAGGGTGTCAAAGGTTCATTCATCTTGGACTATCATCACCAATATAGGAGAAGAGCCCTATTAGGTAAAACTGTGTTTTTGTGGAAGGAGAAGTTTAAAAGTGGTCGAACAAGAGTAACGCATGAAGATGCTAAATATAAAAAAAAATTGACTAGAAAGCTCAACGTAGCGAATGTAAAAAAAAGCGGACAAAACAGCTTAAAAAAAAAAACCAGGGTCAACATGAAACCAAGTAGTACACAATAAGGAAGGGGGGAGATATAAAAATGAAGAACTATAACATGAAACGAAATAAGAAAGAAGGTGTATGTAAAAAGAGGGGGATAAATATGAAAAAGTTATATAAATGAACAAGTACATTACATACTTCATGGTTTCTTGTTGACCTTGGTTTTTTATTAGTTCTGTTGTCTTGTCCGCTGAGTTTTCCAGTCTGTGCTGTATTCAGTTTAGTACTCAGTTGATAAATACGTTGGTTGAAATGTTTAGCTGTGTTTGTGTGCATTTTTTCCATTCTCACCGTCGAGCTTTCTAGTCACATTATGTGTTACATTTAACATTTCTTGCAATCAGCTCAACTGCAGTCACCTCCTAGGTCATCGATTTGCTTCAGACTTGTCACAATGTGGGCAAATGTGGGGGGGACTTTTTCCTACATAAGAATACATTAGCTTGCTGAACATTGAGCAAAGTGCACTGATAAGGAGGGAGATTACGTAGAAAAACGACATGCATAGTGAAACCCTAGCTAGCTTCATGTAAATAAATTGTACAATGAAACGTGTAGATAATTGTTTTACTTTTTCTCACATATCAAATCGAGTTCAAACTAAGATACAGTAACTCAGCTAGAAATGAACTCAGTTGTTCCTACAAAAACAAGAGCATCATTTTAGGAACTTGTTGAAGGTGATCACGGCAAGAACAGACAGAAGTGCTAGTCCAGACACCAGGAGGACCTGTGCCTGAAGATGCACTAGGAATGTAGTTCAAAGCTGCCCGCTGAAAGTAAACAAGCAAATTCAGTTATCATCCCATTAGATAATGTATTTAATAATTGTAGTTGTCAATGAAACTAAAGACTTCAAATATTTAGGAAGCGTTATATAATTTAATGAGAACAATGGAAGCAGAGATAGAATACAAATTAAATAAATCAAATCAAATCTCTGGACAGATGTCAACAATACTGCAGAACACAAATATAACAATGTACACCAAAATAGCACTACTGAATACTGTATTTTACTTAAAGTGTGTTACCAATTGCCAAACGTTGACACAACAGAAATGAAATGTCCATGTCGAATCCTAAATATAAAATATAACTAGAATAGGCAGGATCCAAAATGATGATATCAGGAAACAAGTTGTGACGGAACTCGCACTAAACTACATCAAGAGACAACAGATCAAATAGTTCAAACAAGTTTCCGGCATTATCACCAGACAGTGTATTACAGGGAGCCCTGTCACTTAGACACAATGGGTGCAGACCTAGAGGTGGCCTACGCCAATAATGGATAGACGGAATATCCCAGGTTGTAAATACCAACATCTAAGCAACACATAAAAAGGCTTACACTAAATGCCTCTTCAAAACCTGATGCTGAAAGATAGAACAGGGTCTAGGAAAAAAAAGAGGTAAAGACTGTAGCTGGTTTAGTAAACTCTCTCTCAACAAATTCTCATTTTCACTGTCAAGGTCTTCTTCTATTTAACTCTTTCTATCAAAGACTTTCTCTGTCGAGCTGTCTCTGCCAAACTGTCTCTGCCCAACTGTCTCTGCTTAATTGTCTCTGTCAAGCTGTCTTTGTCACGCTGTCTGTCAGGCTGTCTGTCACATTGTCTCTGCCAAACTATCTCTAAAAAACTGTCTCTGCCAAACTATCTCTAACAAACAGTCTCTGCCAAACTATCTCTCTCAAACAGTCTCTGCCAAACTATCTCTAACAAACAGTCTCTGCCAAACTATCTTTATCAAACAGTCTCTGCCAAACTATCTCTAACAAACAGTCTCTGCCAAACTATCTCTAACAAACAGTCTCTGCCAAACTATCTCTCTCAAACAGTCTCTGCCAAACTATCTCTAACAAACAGTCTTTGCCAAACTATCTCTATCAAACAGTCTCTGCCAAACTATCTCTAACAAACAGTCTTTGCCAAACTATCTCTATCAAACAGTCTTTGCCAAACTATCTCTATCAAACTGTCTCTGCCAAACTATCTCTAACAAAAGTCTCTGCCAAACTATCTCTATCAAACAGTCTCTGCCAAACTATCTCTAACAAACAGTCTTTGCCAAACTATCTCTGTCAAACAGTCTCTGCCAAACTATCTCTAACAAACAGTCTTTGCCAAACTATCTCTGTCAAACAGTCTCTGCCAAACTATCTCTAACAAACAGTCTCTGCCAAACTATCTCTAACAAACAGTCTCTGCCAAACTATCTCTCTCAAACAGTCTCTGCCAAACTATCTCTAACAAACAGTCTTTGCCAAACTATCTCTATCAAACAGTCTCTGCCAAACTATCTCTAACAAACAGTCTTTGCCAAACTATCTCTATCAAACAGTCTTTGCCAAACTATCTCTATCAAACTGTCTCTGCCAAACTATCTCTAACAAACAGTCTCTGCCAAACTATCTCTATCAAACAGTCTCTGCCAAACTATCTCTAACAAACAGTCTTTGCCAAACTATCTCTATCAAACAGTCTCTGCCAAACTATCTCTAACAAACAGTCTTTGTCTATCTCTATCAAACAGTCTTTGCCAAACTATCTCTATCAAACTGTCTCTGCCAAACTATCTCTAACAAACAGTCTCTGCCAAACTATCTCTATCAAACAGTCTCTGCCAAACTATCTCTATCAAACAGTCTTGCCAAACTATCTCTGTCAAACAGTCTTTGCCAAGCTGTCTCTGCCAAACTGTCTCTGCCAAACTGTCTTCATCAAGCTGTCTCTGTCAAATTCTAAAAAGCATTATCTCAGCTCATATGGATCTTCTCTGTACCCTGCAATTCAGGAAACAGGTGAGTAAGTGCATGTTTGTTGCTTCTTTTATGGAGTTCCCCAAGACTCTGTTATTTCATCTATCCAATGTTTGCATGGCTGGCCTCTCTTTTGATTCCAGTTTGGTCTTGAAGTCACTGCTTGTTGTGCTAGACTTTCACTGGCAGCCTAGTTTAATGGTTCAACCATTTGTAATCAAATCTAGCACTGCTACTTTAGGATTCTATCATTGCTGATCTTCTCTCTGTTTGATGCTTAGTACTATTCTCAATAATCTCATATCAGAAGCTACTGTTATAGTTTCCATGAGAAGAAATCATCAAGCTGGAGACATCGCCATCATTAACAAGTGCCTTGCTGACTGGCGTAGTGATCATGCCACTACACAACTTGCTATCTCCAACAGCAGGTATAGTTCATGTGCTGAGACCCTTCTACACCAGGACAACAAGCTCTAAAATAAATCTTCTTGCACTATTTTCCTTAATCTCTACTTCTATCCTCTTTCCAGTTGTCACAGCATTTTCCAGCCTCTTCACATAACATGCCCCAAAAAAATTACAGCTGCCTTTTTCTGATGATTGTAATAAGTTGTCATTGGGGTTTCACTTCATTCAAAAAATTAACTACTAATTTTAGCTGTGAAAGAAATTTTAAGCTTTTCATTTATAAAACAAGACTGGAGAAACACAAACTACAATAATCATGACACTTACCCATCCTCCTTGCTCTGCTATCCACCTGGCTATCCGTTCGGACATCACAAATCGACACAGGAATGTCGCGATCCTTCCCAAAAAGGAAGCAAACTGTACTGCATGCTGCCTTAACTTTGTTATGGCGATCCGATAACCGAATGATAAGAGCAGCATAATGTGTGCCCATGTGTTGCGATTAGCAAATACCCTGTGTAATACAAAGCAATAAAATACAGTCAGCTACTTGTGTCTACAACTATTATTTCCTTCTCAATTTACATTAAACTCATTCCTTTCTATCTCTCTCCACCTAAAATTGTCATACAATCTTTTTCCCTCACCTTTTATTTAAAATCTCCCTTTCTACAAACTCCATAATTTTATCAGTTTCCTTTCCACTGAAACTGCTTTTATCATATTTCCTTCTACTGAACTAAAGTTATCATTCTACCATACAGTGGGCTCATTTTACGTTTTTTCACTCGACAGAGTGATTTCCTTTGCCACTCATGCCTCGTCGGGTCGCAAGACCTCTCCTATGTTGCGGGGGTGTTATGATACGGCTTGGTCTGGTGTTCACTCAAGTATATGTTTATGGAAGGTAGTGTTGTCATGAGTCTATTTCACGCACTGCAGGCGTCTGTGTACAAGTAAAAATTATTGCTGGGTGAAGCGCCGCAGACCTGATGATTCCTGAGTATCGAAACTGGGATGTTTTTGTATTTCTACATTCGTTGGCAGTGGCTCCCCCCCCCGAGAGAAAGAAAGCATAAGGAAGGCAGGAATAAAAAAAATCACTGTTTCCATACTCCTAAACCGTCGTGCAGACTGCAGAACGTGAAAATAATCATGCAAGTGAGCGGTGAGAAAATGGGGAAAAAGGGAATGATTACAGCATTGACAATAAGGAAAACATTACACCCCTCAAAACGTAGGAGAGGTCATGCAACCTGACGAGGCATGAATGGCAAAGGAAGTCACTCTTTTTCTGGGCCGGACAGGGATACATCAGTATACGTCTGCTCTTTAATAATTCCAACTTGGTGTATGTCCTACTTACTATTCAGATGCAACAGTTTTGCTTTATATATGACCTTTGTTTGGAATATGACTCACATGCTAGAACTTGTTAGCCTTAACTAGGTCCACGTAGGAAAATAGAGACACATACAAAACTGTCACAACTGCAGACTCCTGAAGATGAAAAGAAAGGTGCTATTCTTCCAAACAATGACATATCCTCCTCCTCTCACCACCCACTCGCTAGGCATTCAACTCTTCTCAGCAAGGCCAAGTGAGGTTACATTTTCATTTATATTATCTAACTGCTTTTGTACTTTGTATTTTAGTATTAAGCAGTGTCTACATTATTTTATACAACCCCACCAATGTTTTATACGCCAATAACAACAGGATTTCCTTATAGGAACAGATCAATCATGCCCTCTTTATTTCTTATGATAAAGTTTGTTTGGTACATGTCATGTTTCCAAGGACCTGGAACAGATTTAGGACAAAAACAAAGGAATCATTGTTTATAAATGTATATAAATGTATCACTCTTTCCAGCAGTGCAAGAGCTGATCAATGACAATTCATGCCTAGATGACTTCATTATATATACAGATGGATCTGCAGCAGAAGTAAGAAGAGTGGGTGGGGTTTTATTGCAAAACTGAACGGACACTGAAAACACAGAGCCTCACATATAACAACACAACCTCCAGTATGAGAATGGAGGTGGAGGTAGCAATGGCAGTTTTCCGATGGCTTGAGAACAGAACAGCCCAAAATGCTGTAATTGTAGCAGACTCACAGAGCATGCTTCAGAAAATTTAAACTGATGTCCTACGTGCAGAGAGGCTTGCGACGCTTGATAATAAGACTCAGATCATGGATTTTTGTCCAGGATGTTCAGGTGTGCGGGCTAATGAGCATGCTGATAGATTGGTTGCTGTTGCTCCTCTAAGTGGTGAGCTATTTTATGATAAAAAAGACATTGTGAAGGCTATCTAGAATCAAATAGACACTGCAACAGAACAGACAGAGATGTCAATTACTGATTGACTGATTCATTCGTTCAATTTATCTAAAACTGGTCAATGAAAATTTGAATGCTAGAAAGATAGAAGTAAGGTTCTTAAAAATACAAAAATGGAAGAAAGCATTGGGAAAACAGGAAGCAAGGATTGAAGTAAGAAAGAATGGATGCGAGGAAGAACAAACAAAAGGGTACAAGAAAAGAAAAACGGACTGATGAAAAAAATAATAATTGAAAACAGGAATAATGGATGTGTGAAAGACAAAAAAGATGCAACAAAAGGAGGAAAAAGAATGGGTGAAAGGAGGGAAATAAATTTTTTTAAATATATCACAGATAGAAAGGACAGAAGGAAGGTTATAGCTAATAAACTGCCACTGACCGACGTCCGATGCTGGCAAAAGCTTCATACGTGCTTTCAGCGTCGTCAGTGAGGTGGAGTGCAGATATCAGTTGATCAAATTCATTAGCATATTTTGTGTTGAGCTCATCCCCCATTCTAGCCAGGTGACGCCCTATCTCAGCTGCTGGGCTGTGAAAACACAATACAGTATGTCACCATCATCATGTGCTATGCTGAAATATGTTGGTGATCAGGATTTTATAGCTCACACTGCTTGAATCCCCGAAGCCATGTATCAGGTCTGTCTTCTTGTCCACCCTTTGCTAAAATTGGAACACCATCCTTGCACTTAAAAATTCAAAGTTTAAAACAAGTTCAACACTTTATATATTTGGGCAGAATTTTAACACATGATGACAGAATAGACAGAGAGACCAAAACAAGAATCCAACAACATCACGCATCAACTAACCCCAATTTGTAAACACCCGGCTATCTCATTAGACAATGAGAGCAAGAAAGATTACCATGTTCTCAAAAGTGTTATGTTTAATGTATACATTGTGTAATATAAAAACACTAACAAGAGCACTGTTTAACATAACACTAACAAATGCACTGTTTAACATAACACTAACAACTGCACTGTTTAACATAACACTAACAAGTGCACTGTTTAACATAACACTAACAAGTGCATTATGCAACATTGCATTAATAAATGACTGTGCAACATAACACTAACAAATGTGTTTTAATATAGCCCTAATAAATGCACTATGCAACATAGCACTAACAGATATGCTTAACCTGTCTAATCATTAACTACAACAGAGTCAGAAGCGAAAGAAGAATATTATGGCCTGGAGAGAAAGTATAACGGAGCACTTATGAGTTACCACCCTTGTGCCATGAAGTTGATCCGTCGTCTAAACCTAAACAGCACATTTGTTACTACGCTTGTATATCAAGCCTGAGTCCACAGAATCTCAACGCAGTGCATGAATCCATAGCACCGGTGAGGATCCTGAAATACTTTGGGTAAATTTGTAACTCCAATTTTTGCAAGGACAGCGTTGTTAGGCTACTCTTTTTTCAATTTCCAACTGCCAAGCGATTTTTTTATGTACACAGCAATACTCATTAGTGTGTTATATTACTACCCAGAGACCAGGAAAAAAATTACTAGAAGTCCATGTGACCAAATCCTAGCCTTCATCATGGCTTGAACCGGGACCTCCAGTACTCAAGGCAGACGCCATGCTTCAGGAACATGCAGCTCCTAAATGTGCTGTGTAACGTAACAGCAACATATATGCTGTGTAACAACACTAACAAATGTGCTGCATGAAACAACACTAACAAGTGTGCTCTGAAACACAACACTAACAAATGTGCTCTGTAACATTACAGTAACAAGTCTGCTCTGAAACATAACACTAACAAATGTGCTCTGTAACATTACAGTAACAAGTGTGCTCTGAAACATAACAGTAACAAGTGTGCTCTGTAACATTAAAGTAACAAGTGTGCTCTGAAACACAACACCAACAAATGTGCTCTGTAACATTACAGTAACAAGTGTGCTCTGAAACATAACAGTAACAAGTGTGCTCTGTAACATTAAAGTAACAAGTGTGCTCTGAAACACAACACTAACAAATGTGCTCTGTAACATTACAGTAACAAGTGTGCTCTGAAACACAACACTAACAAATGTGCTCTGTAACATTACAGTAACAAGTGTGCTCTGAAACACAACACTAACAAATGTGCTCTGTAACATTACAGTAACAAGTGTGCTCTGAAACACAACACTAACAAATGTGCTCTGTAACATTACAGTAACAAGTGTGCTCTGAAACACAACACTAACAAATGTGCTCTGTAACATTACAGTAACAAGTGTGCTCTGAAACACAACACTAACAAATGTGCTCTGTAACATTACAGTAACAAGTGTGCTCTGAAACACAAAACATAACACTAACTAACAAATGTGCTCTGTAACATTACAGTAACAAGTGTGCTCTGAAACACAACACTAACAGTAAAATGTGCTCTGTAACATTACAGTAACAAGTGTGCTCTGAAAAACACAACACTAACAAATCCTTTTGTGCTCTGTCCCCAATTTCTGTTTTTTTTTTATCAGGTAACATTACAGTAACAAGTGTGCTCTGAAACACAACACTAACAAATGTGCTCTGTACCATTAAATTCCTACTATTTTGTGCAGGCATGTAAATGAATGTTTATAATTTATTAAAAACTGTCTGAACTGTTCTTGTTTTCAGATGAATATAATACTGACTTTTTCTATGTAGTACAGAATAAACTATGTATAACACTGATGTAGTAATTTCTATGTAGTAACATTCTATGTAGCTGCTGATGTGGGCTGATTAGTGTCATTAAATACAAATCTAGTATCATATACTTGATGTGCCACTGTCGTTACAAGCATCCTACTTCTAGTTCGCATTCACCGACTGTAACTCCAGCAGAAAGTTATGGTTGTTCATCTATCTCTGGACTTTAAATCTGATTCAGAACCTCAGTGTTGCCTGCACATCCATGTTACAGATCTGACTTATCTGTATGCAGATCCTTGGTTTCTTGCCTCTCAGACAGACGTACTCTGACTTTGAAGGAAGCCCCCAAATAAGACGACTCTTACAACATGCTTTCTGTTGAGGCAGTGGGTCTATTCATGTCTTCCTCCAAAAACAGGGCCTTGGAACTCACACTGGGAACAGGAGTTCCATATTTACTTTTAAATGTGAAATAATTGATATTACCTCATGGGTGTAGCTGTAAAATTCATCAGTTCTGGTACACGCGGCAAGCTATCCACTTCTTCCCGCATGGTATCATTCCGGTATCTCTGGTAAACGTAATTCCGGAACACCTCTTCTGTTTGGGCCCCGACATTCTCCTCGGTGTCCTGATGCATCACAGGGAAACCAGACCGCACCTGAACCATGGCTACAGAGGGCGAGGAGAATCTGATTCTGCTGCCATTAATTCTTTGTTCAGGTTCTTGATCTGGCCCAAAATTAAACTCGGAGCCATCTATAGAATAAGCCATATTTTCTTGCTACTGTTCACTTGTGTCATCTAGGGCCTTACTTTACATTGCTCTGAAATTACATTTTTTTCAAAATAAAAACATATGAATTTACAATTTAAAGGAAATATTGACTTTTCTGAACAAATATCAAACACAAATGTTGATCAAACAACAGGATGAATATCAAAAAAGATGAATATTGGCATGAAAGAACACTGGAGTTCCACAGTATCAGCAGTAGTAGGAGGAGGAGGCAATAGTTGAAACAGTAGTAGGAGGAGGAGGCAATAGTTGAAACAGCAGTAGTAGGAGGAGGCAATAGTTTAAACAGCAGTAGTAGGAGGGGGAGGCAATAGTTAAAACAGCAGTAGTAGGAGGAGGCAATAGTTGAAACAGCAGTAGTAGGAGGAGGCAATAGTTGAAACAGCAGTAGCAGGAGGAGAAGGAGGGAATAGTTGAAACAGCATTATTAGTAGGAGGAGGAGGCAATAGTTGAAACAGCAGTAGTAAAAGGAGGAGGCAATAGTTGAAACAGCAGTAGTAGTAGGAGGAGGCTGCAATAGTTAAAACAGCAGTAGTAGGAGGAAGGTTGTAGTTGTATCAGCAGTAGTAGGGCGGAAAGGAGGTAGAAAAGGGGGGGGGGGGTATTACTAGCTGTATCAGCAGCACGGGTGGGGAAGTGTAGCTGTATAACAGCAGTAGGAAGCGGAGGTAGTGGTTATATCAACAGCTCAAGATAAGGTTAAAAGTTGTTTTTGTTTGCTGGAGTAGTACAACAGCTGTATTAGCAGTAGTACAACAGCTGTATTAGCAGCAGTACAACAGCTGTATTAGCAGCAGTACAACAGCTGTATTAGCAGCAGTACAACAGCTGTATTAGCAGCAGTACAACAGCTGTATTAGCAGCAGTGCAACAGCTGTATTAGCAGCAGTGCAACAGCTGTATTAGCAGCAGTGCAACAGCTGTATTAGCAGCAGTGCAACAGCTGTATTAGCAGCAGTACAACAGCTGTATTAGCAGCAGTGCAACAGCTGTATTAGCAGCAGTACAAAAGCTGTATTAGCAGTAGTGCAACAGCTGTATTAGCAGCAGTACAACAGCTGTATTAGCAGTAGTGCAACAGCTGTATTAGCAGCAGTACAACAGCTGTATTAGCAGTAGTACACTAGCTGTATTAGCAGCAGTACAACAGCTGTATTAGCAGTAGTACAACAGCTGTATTAGCAGCAGTACAACAGCTTTATTAGCAGTAGTGCAACAGCTGTATTAGCAGCAGTACAACAGCTGTATTAGCAGTAGTGCAACAGCTGTATTAGCAGCAGTACAACAGCTGTATTAGCAGTAGTGCAACAGCTGTATTAGCAGCAGTACAACAGCTGTATTAGCAGCAGTACAACAGCTGTATTAGCAGCAGTACAACAGCTGTATTAGCAGCAGTACAACAGCTGTATTAGCAGTAGTACAACAGCTGTATTAGCAGTAGTACACTAGCTGTATTAGCAGCAGTGCAACAGCTGTATTAGCAGCAGTGCAACAGCTGTATTAGCAGTAGTACAATAACTGTATTAGCAGTAGTACAACAGCTGTATTAGCAGTAGTACAACAGCTGTATTAGCAGTAGTACAATAACTGTATTAGCAGTAGTACAATAACTGTATTAGCAGTAGTACAATAACTGTATTAGCAGTAGTACAACAGCTGTATTAGCAGCAGTACAACAGCTGTATTAGCAGCAGTACAACAGCTGTATTAGCAGTAGTACAATAACTGTATTAGCAGTAGTAGAACAGCTGTATTAGCAGCAGTACAACCGCTGTATTAGCAGCAGTACAACAGCTATATTAGCAGTAGTGCAACAGCTGTATTAGCAGCAGTACAACAGCTGTATTAGCAGTAGTACAATAACTGTATTAGCAGTAGTACAACAGCTGTATTAGCAGCAGTACAACAGCTGTATTAGCAGTAGTACAACAGCTGTATTAGCAGTAGTACAATAACTGTATTAGCAGTAGTACACTAGCTGTATTAGCAGTAGTACAATAACTGTATTAGCAGTAGTACAACAGCTGTATTAGCAGCAGTACAACAGCTGTATTAGCAGTAGTACACTAGCTGTATTAGCAGTAGTACAATAACTGTATTAGCAGTAGTACAACAGCTGTATTAGCAGCAGTACAACAGCTGTATTAGCAGTAGTACACTAGCTGTATTAGCAGTAGTACAATAACTGTATTAGCAGTAGTACACTAGCTGTATTAGCATAGCAGCAGCAGTGGCTGATATGTTTATTTGAGCAGTCAGGTCACAAAGTAACATACAAGTATAAAGAGAGGTTCCCTCTGACCTTGTTTATCTACAATGCAACATGCTAGCCTTGATGTCAAGAAGAAGAATGTGTTATAATAAGGTGCTTCTTATACACTGATCATCATCTCATAAAGTTTTCAGCCAGGAATCCATGTGATTTTAGCCAGGAATCCATGTGATTTTAGCCAGGAATCCCTGTGTGATTTTATCTAGGAATCCCTGTGTGATTTTAGCCAGGAATCCCTGTGTGATTTTAGCCAGGAATCCCTATGTGATTTTAGCCAGGAATTCCTGTGTGATTTTAGCCAGGAATTCCTGTGTGATTCTAGCCAGGAATCAGTGTGATTCTAGCCAGGAATCAGTGTGATTTTAGCCAGGAATTCCTGTGTGATTTTAGTCAGAAATCCGTGTGATTTTCAGAGCCTGATTGTGGAGAACAAACAGAAGAGACCCACTGCCCCTTAACAAGCATGTAGTAAGAGTTCACCAACTGATTGCATTTCCTTAAACCTTTAGCACCCCACAATAAAAATCGAACTGGCTCCGAAAAATTGATCACACAAACCTACTCCTAGCAATCAAAACAGACAAAGAGGAAGTGAAACCACTCTAGAATTTATAGTTTTCAAGTGACGTCACACGCGTAGCTCCGTTTAGGCTTCGTATTCCCCAACCATATATAGATGTCGAGTATACTCGACTGTGGGACGCTACGAGGTGGGCGGCTGAAGTCCAATATACTCGACTGTGGGGTGCTAAAGGTTAAAGGTCAGAGTGCATCTGTCTGAGAGGCGAGGAACCAGTAGGCTGCATAAAAATAAGGCAGATCCGTAAAACAGATGTGCATGCAAAACTCAGCTTCTGGAACAAGACCAGAAGTGGATGATTTGCCAGAATTTTATGCCGGAATTTACAGCAGGTGAACGTGAATACCTGGAAATGTGGGTTGTTCACTCGCTGGGACCGCTGTTTGTCCAACTCTTTATACAATGCACCTTAATGGCTGGAAAGGGGTTTCTGTCTGTTAAACGAGATGTTAGACAATCTTTTCATGTTTAAAGACAAAATCTGTTTGTAACTTGCTGGTGACAGACAGTCAAATTGAAAACTTAATAAACTACATTAGAATGCACAAGCTGTCAGATCATAGACAGTGACACTAAAAACTTTACATTACATCAGAGGGTAGAAGCTGTCAGGTCATAGACAGAGACACTGAAAACTTAACAAACTACATTAGAGGTTAGAAGGTACAGGCTAGAATGCCTAATCTGGGCTTATCATCTTGGGCACAATAAGCTATGGGAATATTTCTGTTGTGTGTATATAATGTTTTTTTTATTTAAATGCTGGTGATTTCCTGCCTATAGTCTACAGCGACAGACTTGAAAGTGTGGTGTTTTTAATTATTTTAGTTTATAAATCATGCAAGTTTCTGCTCCAGGTCTACTGCAGGAGCTTTTCTGTTCTTCTTTTTCTTTTCTATACTCTAGGAATGCCTCGCAGTGTCAGGGTCAGAAGAGCTCTCTGGAACAGGACCTTCTGTGCTTCATATATAGTACTTTTCAGTGTTTCTGATGTTTTTGCTGTTCACCTTTTGCATGGTCGACCTCTGACTCTGTTTCTGCTGAATCTGCATAACACTGCTCTCTGTGGTGTCATGTCTGTTTGCAATCTTGTTACATGTTGAAACCATCTGATCTGTTGTCTGCCAATAAAGTTCAGTACCAGTTCTGTGCTGACTCCTCTTGATATCATCATTCCTAAGTCGACCTTTTTTGTTACACCTAGCATCACACGTAAACATTTCATTCCTGTCGTGACTATTTTTCTAAGGTCCATGTTTGACACTGACAGCACGGTGTTGGTAAGAATATTGGGCTATCCTCCAAACGGGCACATTTTATGGCGGCCAAAAACACACCCTAAGAGGGCCTCAGACACATGTAAATTGCGGACTTTCAGTGACTTAAATTGTGGATTTCTGGCAACTAACGCCACCACCCAGAGTATCTCTCACGCCGCTACGTGCGGCGTGGAATGGGGCTAAACTAGATCGCTGGGACTCACGAGCAGCAGCTACCGCATCTCCTGCAGCTTCCTTCATTTCATTTGCTCGTGAGTCCCAGCCATCTAGTTTAGTCCGGGGGTGGCGTTAGTAGCCAGAAGTCCGCAATTTACATGTGATGGAGGCCCTGTTAGGGTGTTTTTGGCTGTCATAATATGTGCCCATTATTCTAAAAAAACACAACAGCCAAAACAAAAATGCTGGCAGGGGTTGGTTCTGCAACATCTTGTAAGAATACGCACTTTTTTTTTTTTTTTTTTTAGTTTTTTTTTGTTTTTTAGGAAGGCATGGGAATGAAGCCGATGGCAATGGGGAATAAGTGTAACTATCACGACTCATAAGCCCACAACTTTAAATGACTGCGTTTAGTTTAGCATTACTTAGAGAAAGAGACTGCAGAACCATTGTTGACACCAAGTTTTATTTAATTTGCTTCTTTTTGTATCCATACTCTTCATACGCTTGAATGTGTAATGATTTGTTGGTTAGTAAGACTACTATTATTACTGAACAAGTAAGCTTGCGGAAACTAATAATAGAACTGACAATTATATTAATTATAGAAAAAGAGGGAAGCGAACTGGGGCTTACTTTCTTACTTGACACTACAGAACTACTTACTAGCCCTAACAAACAGTATAT